GGCAGACTTATAAACTGTGGTAAGCTGTATGTCTTTGACCCACCCAGTTAGGCTGTAGATCATAAGAAAAATCTCTGTTGGCCACAAAGCTAAAAGCGTAGTGAGGCACATGGCAGGGTTTTACAACAATAATACTCAGAGAGAGACCGTCTGTAGACACCAAGACAACACAGAACAGAGACAGGGAGATGAGGGTGTGACACTGCAAGTCATTCAAACTAAACCAGACTTGTTTTTATCTGTAAATCATGTGTCTTTTATAGCCAGAGTCCCGTGTGCATCTTCCCTCTTTTGACAGGTGTCCGGAAAATCAAGACCTGATTTTCAGGATATCAGATGCTTTTAATTACTCTGGACGTGCCTTAGTGTTGCGTTACTATGTTCCCCGCTATATTTCACTTGTGCGGTTCAAATTGCGGTTTTCTAAACTTTTACTGGAAAACAACACATTGGTGCATTCCAGAGTCTGTAAAAGTTGTTAACACTTTGCACCAAGTTTTTGACACGAGGGAGTCCAAATATTTACTCAAAATGTTTTTTTATTGGTTTTCAGTGACAGTACAAAATAAGACATCATAAACAGTAGACAGTAAGATATTGTCCATTATTAATCCCTTACATGATCTCCCCCATCAATCCAATAGCTCAACAAAAACAAAGAAACAACATAAATATATATAAAAATTTTTTTTTTTTTAAAGTATATATATAATTCATATGCAAATATGAAATTACTACAGTAGTAATTTCTCACACAAAAAGTAGAAAACATTCTAAAACTTACATTTACAAAAACTTACATTTACACACAAACTGACCACAACTTTTAGACGCTATCTTAATTTTGGTCACTGAATGAAACGCACAGGATTATGGGATATCATCTAGGCAGCAAAGCTCTCAGGAGACAGGAAGTGACACGATCATTGGATTCTGATGTTGCCTTCCTACCTCCATATGCATTTTTCGGCATTCGGACACGCCAGAATCGAAATACCCTTAAAATAGGGTGACTTTTACTTGAGAAGCAAAATTTTGCAATATATTACGATTTGTTTTCAATTGATTTTGTCTTTAAAATTAAGTTTATCGTCATAATTTTTGTTATTGGTAAATTTATGCTTAAAAAAACAAGACATTACATATGGGGTACGAATGGGGTAAGAAAAATAAATTTTCTAAACACAAGTCAAGTAAACTCAAAACGGAGTAGGGATTTTCCCCCACAAAACTTTTACTGGAAAACAACACAATGGTGCATTGCAGAGTCTGTAAAAGTTTTTATCACTTTGCACCAAGTTTTTGACATGAGGTGGTCCAAAAAAACCCAAACTATATCAATATTAATTAGGGATGCACAATATACCGACCACCATATCGGTATCGGCCGAAATGTAAATTTTTAATGTTATCGGCCCAATAAGACATTTTGGATGATATATTAAATATTAAATGTGGTCTGATTTATTAAACCCGGTAAATACTGTATTATTTCCTTCAGCTGAGACACTTCAGATGCGCACTGTTCAACATGATGGTTTTAAACTGCTTGAAATGATTGGAAATGGAAAATACAGTTAATGCAACATGCAGGTCTGTCATATAGGCTACATAAAATTATGAGAACTTTATAATTGTGTGCATGGGTCATGGCTTTTAATGGTGAGATTTTTGTTTTCATAATCAGGCTTTAAAAAAATTATATACAAATTTGAATTTAGATTTATCGGCCATTTTATAAAGAATTATCGGTATTGGTCAAAATGATCATATCGGTGCATCCCTAATATTAATCACTGTTATGAATATTGGAGGAATGTCTATAGTGGATTATTATAGATTATAACTGCACTAAAGCAAAATATTCTTATACCCTCAATACCTGAGAAAGCTACGGAAGCCCTGAGAGGCCATGCTTTTAGCTTTTCTTCTTCTCGTGATTACAACTTACTTTTTTTATGTGGAGATAACCAGAAAATTAGTTTCTTTTGCAATCTTGACTTAATTTTCATGTGATCTTAACATAACAAAAAGCTTTCTCTTTCATTTTCCCAAAAAGTAGGCTAATTTTATTACGAGAAAATCGCCATCATAAATGTAATAATTGCCCATTGTACGCTGTGACTACACATTGCAGGTCTCTATATAATCTTTGATGATAAACCTGTAGACCTGACAGCCTCCTCCTCAAGTGTGGGATGGTATGAGTTGTCAATCACTCAATTATACAATAATACCAACATGCGGTTGTGTCAAGTACACAGAACATTTGAGTCAAGATCACAATATATTAAAGTTGTGAATCACGAGACGCCAAGAAAGAGAAAGCACTGACTCTCAGGGCTTCCGTGGAAAGCCTATGCTATTATTATATACAATGCATTAGTGGTTATTTGTTTTTGCGTGCTACACACATTTATCCCGGCCAGCGTCCCGTGTGGAACAATGCGTGCGTTCAGCTCGGGAAACACACTCGAGGTTCTCCTTATATGGAGGTAAAGACGACGTCTGGTGTGATTGGCTCCCGGACATCTAAACCAGAACATGTGGATTTGCTGTGGCTATAACACACACGCACCTGTTAAGACATGTACATCTAAGAGGACAACACACTAACAAAGCATTTCTCCAGTTGTGTAATCCACACTGATAAATATCAAATATAAAAGTCCAGAAAAGGAGAAAACAGGGAAAGATTGGGGATGTCTATGAATGTAAGCAAAATAACAATGAAACAGTTTCACTAACCGTTTGATTTAACTAGTATATACAGTCAAACCCAAATTTATTCACACACCTTCAACATTTCTCACATTATACGTTTATTCGCTATAGTTTAGAAAATGGTAATATAAAATATGAGAAGAACTCAGTGGATATTTGACTGGTTTTGTCCGTCCTTCTGTTAGACTCTCACACATGAATTATGTTGAATATCTGTCAGCTGTTCAATTTAACTACACAATTAGATAATACCAGTTTATACATTTTACTGGTAATCCACTATATGAAGCATTTTTGTGTATAATATGTCACATTTACTTTATTTTGCTCTCCTCACTTACATAAATGAACTATAGTGTCCCGCACACACTAGTAAGAATAAGTCATATTTTATAAATTAAAATAATTTTTGGTTTGACCGTATATTTGATTTGATTTTTCTGGTAAATTTACAATGAAAAAACAAAAAAAAGGAGTAGGCTGGAGCGGAGGCTTAATATATATATATATATAATATATATATATATATATATATATATATACATATATATTAATAATGACTAATTTCAACATTAGTGTTATCCCTTCGTGTTCTTGACTGGAGTGTTCAGCTTATACTTCGTTGTTACGACTTGTCGATTTCAGCATCCTATTTACATTATTTTCAAGAATTATGGTTGGTGAATATAAGGTCTTTTTCTCTCCCATGACTCACGGTTTCTGAAGTGTTATTCAGTCTGGAGATGTTCAGACTAGAGACAGGACTGCTCTCTACTGGCCAGACATCAGCCGTGCAAATATCGCTTTTTTGCAACTGCATTTTAAAACCCCACAGCCGAGACGACCAGCAGACGTGCCAGAAAACAAGTGCCACTACTGTGTGAAACACTACATAATAGCATCCATTAAAAACAGTAATCTGAAGTATTCATGCATATTTCAATTGACTTCTCAGATCTTAGCAGTTATTTTGCGTATTTATTAAACAAATTTTGTGTATACACAATATACAAGTGCAAGAAGAATCATTACTTTTTCAAACTTTTTTATTTACATATAATTACTTTTCAAACACACCCCTCATCTGCTATTGGTTGGCTATACAGGAAGCCCCGCCCCCAAACTACCACCATTGGTCAAATCAGCTCAAGACAGTCATGCTTCGGTTATCTTTTACATATGCATCTTAAACTTCAGCAGTCTGATCAAACGACGCGTCCACATTCGGATCATTTATCGCACAGGAAATGGAAGGCCCAAGTTGAGCAGATTGCATTGTGGGATATAGTTCAACACGGAGGGCTCTGTTGTATACTGAACCATGTGCACAACATTCATAATACAGAAATAGTAGAATAGTAATACGAATACTGAAGTAGGTAGGATGGTACAATGTTTCAAACTTAGCCAAAAAAACAATAATTAATGATTAATCGCAACGATTAATCGCATACAAAATAAAAGTTTGTTTACACATAATATATGTACGTAAATATAAATTCACACACATACATGTATATATTTAAGAAATAGTTCCATATTTATATTTTATGTATAAATAACAAATTTTTCTTAAATATATACATGCATGTGTGTGTATTTATATATACAAAATAACTATACACAGTACACACACACATATATTATGTAAACACAAACTTTTATTTTGATGTGATTAATCGTTGCATTGATCAATCCTACTTGACGCACTAATATTATTGTATTATTTCACTTTGAAGAGACCAACCGAGTGACTCAAAGCAGAATGAGAAAACTGTCAGCATTGATGTACAACTGGAAGAGCAACCAATCAAAAGAAATACAACGCAACGAGCAATCAAGGCACTTTTAATGGCAGAAATCATCACCTGAGCAAACACTCTCCGCATTTAAGACACTTTCATTCACCCTGAGGTTTCCTCATCTCACACTCAACTCCCTCAGAAGCCTCTGAATCACGCGGATTCGACTTTGGACACTTGATATGCACGTTAATGAGGTAGAATTGAAAACACCTTGCTTGCCTTTGTGCGACTTCCAAATCTACGCATTTTGACCCAACCAAATTCAATATAAAACTGTACATTTGATTAGCAATAAAACCTCATTCGCAAGCGAGTTTAACCTCCGCGTTCACACACACACACACACCCCACACAACGTTACCCAAGACTAGACCAATCAGGGAGAGACATCCAATGAAGTGAACAAACTGTCATTAAAAACTTTAAAATGTAATCCTTAATATATATATAAAAAAAGCAAGAAGGCACATACAGGGTCAAGCAGAACTTTACCAGATCAATCACTCATCTTAAACATTAAGGCACTTTGCGCATTAATATTTCCCAGCGCTCCTCCACCGGTCCTCATTTAGCCGAACAGGAAGCTGCACAGAAACAAAAGGGCATTTACGTTAGAAAGGAAATTAAGTCGAATACATTTCTGAATTACAATTCTTATTATAAACACTACAGTTCAAAAGTTTGGGCTCGGTAAGATTAAAAATAAAATGTTTTTGAAAGAAGTGTCTTGTTCACCAAGGCTGTGCTTAAAACCGTAAAAACAGTAATATTGAATTATTATTTAGTTTAATATTGAACAATTACAAATTAAAAGACCTGTTTGTAACAACTGTCATTTATTCCTGTGATGGCAAAGCTGAATTTTCAGTTTTTGTGGATACAGTGATAGATTTATTCCCAGGATTCTTTGATGAATAGAAAGTTCAAAAGAACAACATTTATTTTAAATATATATATATTTTTTTTAACATTAGAATTGTCTTTACTCTCAATTTAAAGTGGTACTTGACCGCTGGCAAATAGGCATTCAATAAAACTTGGCTGCTTATACAGTAGAAAGATAGAGGAAATAGGCTGTTGTCTTCCCTTTTGTCAAATAGTTAGGAAAACATGGTTACACTGTCATTGTTACAGTGTCATTATATAAGTACTGAGTAATATTAATCAACTACATGTACTTAATATATAGGGTTTGGTAGCGGGTTAGTTGCATGGAATTATGCATAATTTACTGCTATTACTATGGTAAGTTCATGAAACATATGTAACAAGGACACTGTAAAATAAAGTGTTATTGAAAACTTCAACACCCATAATGCACTGGGCATGTTGCCATCCAAGGCCACTCCCACCATAGATATCCATAATAAAGGCTAGATGTCTCGTCTGCGCTGCTGGCCAATGGAGGTCGACGTCCGCACCTGGCGGCCATCTTGTCACAGGCAGCTCGCTCACTCGTAACATTGTGTTTTAATGGTGCATGTACTTTTTAAATAACCATAACTTGCTCAATTTTCTACCGATTTTCAAACGGTTTGGTTTGTTATAAACGTCAGAGATGTGGTTATGACACTGCATACTTATGAAAAATAAGTGCATCAATAAATAATCATCCAGAATTATAGCCACGTTAATAACGTTTGTAAGAAACCAAACCGTTTGTAAATCAGTCAAGATTTCAACGAGATAAGAGTATTTGTGTTCGTGCTGATCACTCATCTTACATCAGAGCCCGCCAGAAAGCTTGCCTGTGACAAGATGGCCGCCGGTGATGACGATAGAGACTCCGCCGAAAGACATCTAGCCTTTATTATGGATATCTATGACTCCCACCAGTCTGCTATGGAGTCAAGCCCTGTGTCCCAATGCACATACTATCCATCCCACACAATACATGAGATAACTGTTTATTCCTCAGCATAGCATGTTGAAGAAGAGTATGCCACAAGACGGATGGTCTACTATTTCCAGTAGATTTTCGAAGTGTGGATCCGTGCTCACTATAATGCCTAATATTGCCCACAATCCATTGCACTTGGAGGAGAATTTGGTTCAGAACTACAAACACGAATAAAAGGTTTTAATAAACTACAAACATGGCGGATGTGCGTGGTCGGCGGTTGAATAGACAGGTTTAGATAAAGGTTTCAGTGACTAATAATCAACATTTAACCTGAGAAAAAAAATATTTATTTAAATGTTATCCACATTATATTTCATCTGCAACAACACTGTGAACTTTTATAAAGCTCTGTTAGCCCATTAACTTTTAAATGCATCATTATACAAACACACGAGGAGAGTTTCTGCATGACAGACCCACGACTGGCAATCTTTTCTCTACAATACAGTAGCGAAATAAATCATATGAAATGTGGAGGATTTTAACTGTGACAAGATGATTGACAGGGCAGGTTTGTCACAAACCTTGTCTACTACTCAAAAGTATGTACTTTTTTTTCCCACAAGAAGAGTACATACTTTTAGGGAGTGTTATAAGTAGGCGAATTGGGACGCAGCAAATTACCGCCTTTCTTTAGTAGGAAATACTTCTTAGAAACTTTTAGACAATGATCTCGACTTGTATTGTTCCCAGTGCAAGAATTCAAAGAGTAAACGTTTAGCGGAAGCGATTTAGATTTGGTTTCCAGCGTGTTGTAGCCAGTGGCTAAAGGATGCAAAGAATTGTAAATACGGAGAGAACGCAGCGACAGACAATCGAAAAACATCTGTGTTTGTCGTCAACATTTCCAACTAGATGAGCATAAACAAACAGAGGGGAAAAACGGAAAGAAACTGCCGTTCTGTCAAATCCACCGAAGCAAAACGCCGGAGCATACCGGGGAGAAAGCTGTTAGCATAGACATCCATTTTTACCATAATTTCTGTTGTTAAATAACCCTCTTCCGATCCGACGGTCTGTGGGCGGGGATACAAAAATGCGGAAGTACAATCTGTAGTTTTCACGATTTTAGGATTCTGCACCATTTCTGGGCCACTAATGAAATGCAAGTGAACTAGAGACATTGATCATGTGACACTCATCAGATCTTCTCTTCGTGAGAACATCTCAAAACTCAAAACACGATCATCAGGTTTAGTGCATTCAGCTCAGGCCAAACCGCAGCGGAGCAAATACTGAGACACCATCATTTCTCAATTAAACATTTTACTCAAATTATTACATTATAAACAACAACCTGCATTACAGAAGCATTTAAATTAGTGCTCCCAGACTCTCTTTGCATTGCTATTCCAGTCGGATTATTGGACTAATGATGGCCTAGTGGTCTCACCTGTAAGGATATCCGTGATATTTGGCCCTGAAGACGGACAGGAGCCAGCTGAAGAACAGCACCACCAGCCCGATTCCTGCCATACACATGACTGCAGAGAAACAGGACACACATTAAACCGGTTCTCACTGCAGTCTATGCAGAACTGCTTGATTGACAGCATACTTTTCCTCTTGCCGACGTCCAGGTCAGAGGTCGCAGCCTCATGAAGCAGAACCATTCCTAGAGTCACCGCAGCATCTGAATCAGGGTTCAGGAACACGTTCATGTGTGCGAATAAAGCCACAGCCAATCAGATCTGTGTGTAGAGCTACACTACTGTTCAAACGTTTGGGGTCGGTTATGATTATACTTTTACTCAGCGAGGGCATATTAAATCAAGCGACAGTAAAGACATTTTTTATGCTACATTTTAAAAAAAATGCTTCAAAGAATCCTGAAAAAGTATGTTTCCACAAAAATATGAAACAGCACAACTGTTTTCCACATTGATAATAGTCATAAATGTTTCTTGAGCATCAAATCCTCATATTAGAGTGATTTCTGAAGGATCATGTGACACTGAAGACTGGAGTAATGATGCTGAAAATTCAGCTTTGATCACAGGAATAAATTACACTAACTTTACTATATATTCACATAGAAAACAGACATTGTAAATTATAATGTTTCACAATATTACTGTTTTTACTATTGATCACATGAATGCCACCTTGGTGAGCAAAAGAGACTCCTTCCAAATACATTAAATCTCACTGATGTCACGGGTATGAGCGACCAACAAATTGTTTGTTGCTTGCCATGTAGTAGAGATAAAAAAAAAAACTGTGACATCAAATAGATGAATAAATTGATATTTAACAAATTTTCGGTCAAATTTTGGTATCATAAACCTCATTCTGGACTAATTTAAAGGTGGGGTGTGTGATTTTCTTTGACCATTTTTTCAAAATCACTTGAAATCCTATTCCTAACCCACTTACAGCCACTGAGCCGTACACACCGGGACGAATATCGGCGCGCGTTATTCGCCAGCGTTTTTAACGTGTTTTTTGTGTTCACACCCAAGCGATTTTCGCTGACGATGAGCCGAGTGAACGTGCAAATTCATTCCCTGACATTAGATGGCGCTTAATGTAAAACAGAAACACCCCGGGACACAAGGTGGCGCTGCGTAACTTTACGCTTCTGACACTCGCTTGTCACTCAGAAGAAGAGAGCAAGTTTTTACGGTATTTACGCGCTTGTCATATCGTTCTCTATGTTCCGACACCAACGAGACCAGCAGCTCTACATTCATCTTGCCTTGAATCTTCCTCGTCTTATGTCTTCCCGGCAGTGTAGACGCTACTGGGCGTATATCTTCTTCTTCGCCGTTAGGTATGTGTGCTCGGCAAGACCGTTTTGTGTTTGAGCGCCCCCAAGTTGTGTTTTACTGTAACTTCAGAAGCTCCAGACACGTGAGCAAAAGCGTCAATCTCATTGGTCGGATAGTTTTTGACGCGGCGCGTCAAACCAAAAAACCGAACCCGAGGCGTTTTAAAAAAATGACTTTTACACGAGGCGTTTATCGCGTCGGTGTGCACACTCACACTGGCGCCCTTTGTTTAGTCACGAGGCGTTAAACGTCGGCGAAAATCGCGCACGAAATTCGTCCCGGTGTGAACAGGCCTTCAGAAGCACTGAAATGAAAATTAAGCAATTTAATCATCTGTGGAACGGGCAGGACTCGAAAAACTCCAGCCAATCATTTCCAAGACCACATAGAATCATTGGACAGTCAGTGCGTCAATCAAACGGTCGTACCATACCCGCCCCTCGTGTGTGTCCCATTCGTGCGCATATTCAAAGCTCGTGACCCAGTCACAGTAAGCGCAAGTCGCCCCGGTACAGAGAGAGAGAGAGAGAGAGAGAGAGAGAGAGTAAGTGCAATCTCGCGCATCTGAGTTTTGCAGATGCATGATTGTGCATCCATGTCCTTCGAATGGGTGGAGTCAGGGCCAGCGTTTGAGGAAAGAAGGTAGGACCTTTTGAGTTGTGTATTTTCAAAATCTGCTGGCCGTTTTGCCAATCCCATACCCTACCTTTAAAGGGATAGTTCACTTTGAAATTAATTTTTGATATGTTTTAGCTTACCTCAAGGGCATCCAAGATGTAGGTGTCTTTGTTTCCGCAGTAGTTTCAATTTTGATATTTTTAGGTCAAACCGTTGTTGTCTGTCAGTCATATAATGCAGGTCTATGGTCTCCACCTCAAAGAGCATGCACAGAGAAGTCCAAATTAAACATGATTTAATGACTCGTAAATGTAAGTACACATTGATGGCCTAAGACACGAAACGAGCGGTTTGTGTGAGAAAACGAACAGTATTTATATCGTTTTTACCTCTTGTAACCACAGCCACGTCCAAGTGATCTGAGGGCGCGGGCGCCTCTGTCTGCGCAAGCTCCGGAAGTGATCTCTCGCGCGTGTACGTCACTCATTGTTTACACAGAGATTTCGGACGTAAAATCTCTCTTTTTTCTAATTTTTTTTCCGAAATCGTCTTCCATTGCGATTTCCTGTATATCTAAATATGTTTAGATCTTCACAGTGAAAGGTAAAACTTCCGAAATCTCTGTGTAAACAATGAGTGACGTACACGCGCGAGAGATCACTTCCGGAGCTTTCCGGCGCTTGCCAGACAGAGGCGCCCGCGCCATCAGAGTACTTGGACGTGACTGTGATTACAAGAGGTAAAAACGATATAAATACTGTTCGTTTTCTCACACAAACCGCTCGTTTCGTGTCTCAGGCCATCAATGTGTACTTACATTTACGAGTCATTAAATCATGTTTAATTTGGACTTCTCTGTGCATGCTCTTTGAGGTGGAGACCATAGACCTGCATTATATGACTGACAGACAAGAACGGTTTGACCTAAAAATATCAAAATTGAAAATACTGCGGAAACAAAGACACCTACATCTTGGATGCCCTTGAGGTAAGCTAAAACATACCAAAAATTAATTTCAAAGTGAACTATCCCTTTAACACATAGGGGCAAATTTACTAAACAGGGCAAATTAGTGTGAGAGCGCAATCCTATAAAAGCACAGATGAGAGAGGAGAGTTCTGCTCGTGATCTACTGACGACACACACATTAAAGGCCCCAGACACAAAGATAATTTCCATAATGACCAACGTAATATACCAATGTGTCTGGTTTAAGACATGCTTATTTTGGGCGGTAAATAATGGTGCAAACACCAGTAACTTGACGAGTGCAAACATTAGTAAATCACCTTGCGTGATTCATTTAAATTCTCTCCTCCAATAAATTTTGCGTCTTAAAGGGAAACTCCTACAAATGCATATGCAATAACATCAGCCGCATGTTCAGCGCTAATTTTACACTTCAGTAAATCCTGACAGCAGTTTATAAATGCCAAGAGGGTTTGCACTGTCCCAGTGTAACTGATCTGAGCGCAGTGGCTGTGAAGGATACTGAAGAGGAGAACGATGTGAGTCTCCGCCACAAACTGAGCCTGACTGCTGCCGTGGATGTAACTCTGAAATCAAAGAGAGACATATTACTGTGGTTATCATTTGATATAAAAACCTGTAGATGAGAGAACTTAGAGATAGTTTGTGACCTGAGGGGGCTGTGATGTTATCAATCATAACTGTGCATGTTTACTGACAAGCACCAGAAACAAGCCTTTCTGACGGAGGGTGGAAAACTATCATGTTTTGGAAATATAGAACCGTTTTTTTTGTGTGCAAAAACTTTATTAATATCATAAGTGGCCCTCTAGGAACACGAAGAAGATTTGTGGCTTTTAGTCTATGGATGTTAGCTTTATGCAAGATGCACAAATTGAAGTTTTTGTCCAATCAAACGCTCTCTAGAATGATTTAAAACAGGTGACAAACTTTAAATGACACACACCAACACGGCAGTGAAAGCTGGGATTGTCAAGCCATTTCACGGCGTCGTTAAAATATAAAACCAAACGTGAGGTAAAGAGTGTAACCAACCACTTGGCCAGTGTTCGGGTTCTTGTGAGCGTATGGAGGTCCTCGGATGTGGTTCCACATTTGACCCGATGTCATGATCAAAACAAAACA